GAGGTGTTAGGCTATACACGTGCATTTAAACTACATCGAAATGTCCACAATTGGTTTAGAGGGGTTGCCCATGAGATATGTTCAGTTAGTATTTATTGAAATGCATGGTTTCACTGGATAGATACCTAGCCTTTAAACTTCTGGTGGCTTCCCTCTACACTGTGAATAAAATCCAGACTTCTTGGGATAGACTATAAGGCCTGGCCCATTCTGGCCATTACTGGCCTCTCCAGGCTCATCGCCAGCCTTGCTTTTCCTGCTCCTGTAACACTGGCCTCTCATGGTCTTAGCCCTTGGCCTTGGCACATGTTCTTCTCTGTCTGGGTTGCTCTTTCCCCTTTGCTGGCTTAGTTAGCTCTTACTCTCTCTTTATAACTCACTTAGTGGTCACCTCCTCAGGGAAGCATTCCCTGATTTCCCCACCTTGCGTGATCTGGCCCATTCTCATCTCTCCAGTCTCATTACTCTTCATTCTTTACCTTGCCTACCCTGCTCCCAGCTCTGCTGGTCTCCTTTCCATTTCTCAGGCATGCCAAGCTCTCTCCCACCTCAGAGCATTGGCACATGTTGTTCCTAGACCATGCTTGCCCTGCTAATTTCATGGCTGGTGGACAGGGCAAGACCAAAAAGAGTGAGTTTTGCCCAAACACTCTGTCCAGAAGCTTAATAATTTAGCAAATGATACAAGTAGATATTACATATAAAACACAATTGTCAATCAACTCTTCTGGTGGGGAATGGTCGGGCAATGGTTGTTCTCTCTAAGAGCAAAACTAGTTGCCTTTCAGAAGACTGGTAAATCTTCTGAGACTTGATTTTAATAAGTGAGAGGTAATAATGATTTACAGAAAAACACATTAAATATCTTAGGACTGTATACATGACCATAACTTTCCTTATTATGTCAAGAAATTGTGAGCTACTTGGAGGCGTATGTATGAATTATGCTTGCTTATACATTGTCATAGTAAATTCGTTAGTCCATTCTAAATTTTGTTTAGTTGGACTAATGTTTAAAAAAATCACATGGTAAATTTCCAGTTCTCAAAGATAGAGGCATTGTAATATATGGTATCGCTGACCTGGCACATAGTAGCCCCTCAATAAAGGCTTTTAAACTGACTTGACATCTTTCTCTTTTTAAGTGGGAATGCTAAGATCAAAGGAAAAGTCTTTAAGGGTTACTTTATATATATATATTACTTTGGTTGCAGGTTTACAGAACAAACAGTTTCTCATTAAACATTCAGTACACATATTGTTTTATGACTTAATCATTAACAACCCCATGACATGTCAACACTCTCCCTTCTTGACCTTGGAGGACCCTTTTTTTTCTTTTTTTTTTTTTTTTGGTGAAAATTTACATAGCCAAATATACACATTTCAAAAATTTCTACATGTACAATTCAGTGACATTGATTACATTCTTCCATTTGTGCTGCTATTCTCACTATCCTTTTCCAAATTATTCCATCACCATTATCTTCAACTCATTGCCCCCTAAGCTTCCCATCAAACCTTTGAGTTGCTGTTATCAATTTGATCTCACATAATTTTTTTTTTTTTTGGTACCTTAGATGAAGGTTTGCAGAACAAATAGTTTCTCATTGAACAGTACACATATTGCCCTACGACAATGGTTAACAACCCCATGACATGTCAACACTGTCCCTTCTCAACTAAAGGTTACTTTTTTTTTATGGCAATGGGATTTGTATCCAAATAGCACTCTAGGTTAGTGGTTCTCAACTGTGAGCAATTTTGCCCCACGAGGGCTATTTGGCAACGTTTGGAAACATGATTGATTTGTCACGGCCTAGGTGGAGGGTGGGGAGGTGCTACCGGTATCTAGTGGGTAGAGAGGCCAGGGATGCAGCTCGAATCCCTCTAAGGCACAGGACAGTACCCAGCCACGACAAAGAATTATCTGGTCCAAAATGTCGGTAGAGCCAAAGTTGAGAAACCCTGCTCTAGGTCATTACAGGTAAATCTAATTCATTATTATTTAAAGCCTCATAATGCTTTGTACTATGGATAGATCATAATTTATTCAGCTAGTTTCCTGTTGATAGATATAACTTCTTCTTTAGTGGTATTCATGGATTTAATATTAAGAAACCAAATGGCCTAATTTAGTTGTTTACCAATCATTCTGTTTCTTTAAAGAGCAAAACATGCCTTTTTAGAAAGACTCAAAAGAGAATCAGTTAAGAATTCGTAGACTCATGTATAAAATTAGATTCTGGGTCACTGTGAGTCAAGAGAATTTGGTTTCAGTAAAATCACAGACTCATTCCAAATGACAAGTCTTAAAGTAAGTCATTTGAAAATCATGTCTTCATTTTTTGATGCTTTGGAATTAAAAAAGAAGAAGCAACAACTTTAAAGCCTTTTATATGACTACCAAAAGCAGAGAAGGCTTCTTCTGGATGTAATTGTAATAACTTTCAGTGAAAGCTAATTCTGAGTATCTCTACCTCCTCTTTATACATATTTTTAAAAATCCACCAGTACATTAAATCAGGGTGTGTTGAACAAAAGAAAACAAAGCAGGTTTAAGATGGAAAAAGCGATATTCATCCAAAAGATGTTAAATGAGTTCCAGATGCTGTTGACAATATAATTCAGAATCGGAATGACCCTTTGGTTAACCACAGAGGATTTTACAGAAAGGGTGCCCTAAAGCAAACAGATGTTTGCTCTGTGAAACCAAAGCTCTGTGCTTCTCTAGCCCATCCTCTCTGCATGTCATATGCATTCCTGGAGGGATAAAGAAAGAATTCTTGTTCTCTCACGGAGCTGATGTTGTCAGGTGCCCTCGAGTCAGTTCCAATTCATAGCGACCCTATGTACAACAGAACAAAATGTTGCCTGGTCTTGTGCCATCCTCACAGTCGGTGCTATGTTTGAGCCTATTGTTGCAGCCACTGTGTCCATTCATCCCGTGGAGGGTCTTACTCTTTTTTGCTGACCTTTTACCAAGCATGAAGTCCTTCTCCAGGACTAGTCCCTCCTGATAACATGTCCAAAGTATGTGAGTTGAAGTCTCAACATCCTCGCTTCCAAGGAGCATTCTGGTTGTACTTTTTCCAAGACAGAGTTGTTTGTTCTTCTGGCAATCCATGGTAATTCAGTATTCTTTGCCATCACCATAATTCACAGACATCAATTCTTCTTCCGTCTTCCTTATTCATTGTCCAGCTTTCGCATGCATATGAGGCAATTGGAAGCATCATGGCTTGGGTCAGGTGCATCTTATCCTCAAAGTGACATCTTTGCTTTTTAGCACTTGAAAGAAGTCTTTTGCAGCACATTTGCCCAGTGCAGTGCATCGCTTGATTTCTTGACTGCCGCTTCCATGGGCATTGATTGTGGATCCAAGTAAAACGAAATCTTTGACAACTTCAATATTTACTCCATTTACTATGATGTTGCTTGTTGGTCCAGTTGTAAGGATGGATAAAAACTAATGGAACAAAACTATGTATGTGAGTAGGATGGTAAACCAATTGGTGAGCCTGAAAGGGTTTTCTCAATAAGAAGCAAGAGTTGGAAGTTTATCTTTCCTTTGCCAGTGGTGTTCCTATAATCATCAGTTCTACAGTAAAATAAACTGGACTGAGTAGTTGGGTTTTGTGCTTCAGGCTCTTCAAAATTTTTGGCATGAGTCCTTATACTTTATAAATTAACCGAAACCGCGGTCCTGCAATAGATCACACCTAACAAAATTGCAACAGGTCAAGCCCATCTGTTTTGTTAGTTGTCGTTGAGTTGACTTTGACTCAGTGACCCCAAATACAACAGAACAAAATGTTTCCTGGTCCTGTGCCATCTTCATGATCATTGGTGTGCTCGAGTCCATTGTTGCGGCCACCATGTATTTTGTGTACCTTCCAACCTGGGAGACTCAGCTTCCGGCACTATCTTGGATAATATTCTGTTTTGAACCATAGGGTTTTCATTGACTTATTTTGGGAAGTAAATCAACAGGCCTTTCTTCCTAGTCTTAGTCTGAAAGCACCACTGAAGCCTGTCCAGTATGGGTGACCCTGTTGATATTTGAAATACTGGCGGCATAGTCAGTGGCATCACTAAGGGCTTGTGGGGGTATGGACTGCACCGGCTGACACTGTCAGAGGGGGTGGCACCAAAATGACTGTCTATAAAATTCTCATGCAGTGTTTCAACAGAAATTTATTATTTTTTATTAAAAAAATCCCTGTAGTTAAACAACAAAAACATTTTCTGTAAGCCCATCTTATGCGTATCAGTATACCTACAAGGCTAAAACTTTATGCTAATTTACTTTTTGAACCTTCTAATGTGCTCCCAACAGAGCTGTCATTATCCAATCACAGTGACCCTTCGAATCACACGGTTTCATCTGCCAGTACTACCAGCATACGCTATTGCTTTCGTTGCTGCTAGTGTTTTTATAGTCGCTGATTTTGTCACATTTTCTGGTGTTTTAAATACAGTATTGTGGCAACTAGTATTTGTGAACCTGTATCAATAACTTTTTTGAGAGTGAAGTAGTCATTAAAGGAAAAGAAGGAGAAAAATCACAAAAGGCTTCTACTCACTAATGTTATAATTATTGATGTTGTAATTCAATGTAGAAAGAATTTACAAAACAGTTTTGTTAGTGTTCATGTAATCTAAGAAATAGTACATTTAAGCAATTTATAACTATATTTATCACATACTGTTCTGTGATTAAAATTGATGAGAAACATTACTAAGGATTCTGTATAGTCTGGTATGGGAGGAGGTCCTCTATGGGGGCGGTGACACCATGAGTTACTGCACTGGGTGACACCAACCCTTGTGACACCACTGGGCATAGCTCCCAGAGTCACAGCAACAGGCAAGCCACCACAGTACAGCAAACTGACAGACAGGTGGTAGCAAACATAAATCTAAGGATCTACTAACATTGTAAGTTCATTGATACTGTTGTAAACTAAAATGGTTTCCCTCTTGCTGTTGCTTTTAAGGACCAGAGCCACACACAAGTTTCGCAATACCGTCAGGATCCCTCCCTGATCATGAGGTCCATTGTCCACATGACTGATGCTGCTCGCTCGGGGATCATGCCTCCTGCCCAGCTCACCACCATCAACCAGTCTCAGCTCAGTGCCCAGCTGGGCCTGAATTTGGGAGGTGCCAGTATGCCCCACACATCTCCTTCACCTCCAGCAAGCAAATCGGCAACTCCCTCCCCTTCCAGCTCCATCAATGAAGAGGATGCTGACGAATCCAACAGAGTAAGTGTAAGACACACTGCTGTTTACTGCTCTAGTAGGTAACCTCCCAGTGAATTTGGGGTCACCCCATGCTCATGTCTTTGAATTTCGTTCATGGTATTATTATCTTCTTTTTCTGCCTGGATTTGGAGTAGCAGTTGCATTTATGATGGTTTCATTTTTTTCTTCATTCTTTTACTTTTTTCTTTTCTCTGGAACTGGAAATTGGGAAATCTGGCTTCTCATGCTTACGTGAGGCATTGGGCAAATCATTTAACTCTTCTATGCTGTGACTTTTCTAATCTGCAAAAGGAAGGGCCTGTACTAGACTTACCAGAAATTCTAAACAGCTTTAATTTTAACTTAATGTCCATATGGTTTGGTTTCATCCAATTACTAGGCTGAACTGGTGGCACATTTGATAGCCTTGCACCTTCAGTGATGTTTATTACTTAGTAAGTTCTAATGGTTTTACATCTTTGTTTTTGCAGTGGAAAACATATTATTCAAGTATGTTGTTGTTGTTGGGTGCCATTGAGTAGATTCTGACTCCGTTGATCCCATGTGACAGAGAAGAACTGCCCCATAGGGTTTTCTTGGCTGTAATCTTTTACAGAAGCAGATTGCCAGGTCTTTCTCCCACAAAGCCATTAGGTGGGCTCGAAACGTCGACCTTAAGGTTAGCAGCAAGCATTTAACCATAGCGCCAGCAGGGTTCCTTTTAATCAAGAATACATAGTTTGAATTAAAAATGTTGTTGCAGATGTTGTACTTTCTGAATGCCTACCATAAATAACTTTAATGGAAAAGGGTCCTATAATAAAACACAATTACTCGTTGCTCATTCATTCATAATATGTTGTCCACTACTTTGTGCCTGACATCTGAGTTAGTTCTGGTAACGTAAAGATTTATAAGAGAATTATTGCCCATGGGATTCCCCATTGGGGTTCGATTGCTGTGTTTAAAACTAGCTCCAGATGTGATTAGTGTATAATTTATGTATCTGGTAGGCTGAGATGGTAATCGATTCTGCTTGGGAGAGTGATTTGAGGAAGGCTTTATTGAGAAGGTGATATTTGAATTAGGTCTAAGAGGATGCGTAAAATTTTGTGAGGCAGAAGAGAGAAGCAGGTATTCTGATTGTGGGAACAGTGAGGAGCATTGGGAGTACAAGGAAATTTATGGGTATAATGAGCGCTTGTTATGGGAGGAAAGAAGTAGGAGTGGAAAGAAATGGCTTAAATGTGGTGGTCTTTCCTCTGTTGGTAATTCAGAGCCGATTAATTATTTGCGTAAGGAAATGCCATAGGTATACGTATGCTTTAAAGATGACTTTGGCAATGTATCGGATGCATTACAAAGGGAGAGACCAGAGAAAAGAAAACCAAGTAAAAGACCCTTATGTTATGAACTATTGTATGTCAGCAAATGAAGGAATAGACAGGAGGAACCAGATTAGTGATACATTTAAGAGGGAGAATCACTAAGGGTTGGGTGGTCCCCTGGAATTTGGAGACGAGATAATTTTGGCTTCAGTTTTAGAGTCAGCATGGATGTAAGTAACTGAGAGAATCAACATGGGAAGAGAGGAGTGCTTTTCTTCCCCCATGGGGAAGATGAGAGTTTGGCATGGGCTGGGTTGAATTTGAGGGGCTTACAGTTGGATATCTGAGTCTAGAACTCAGCTCATTGGAGCCGAAACTATAGATTGGAGACCATCAGCATCAGCACATTGATGTGAAGACATGGATGTAATCCGAATTTCTCAGTGTGTAAGGAGCGAATCATGGCCAGAACCCTGAGCATCATTTTTTTTTCCATTGTTAAATTTAGTATTTATTTTAAAATCTTACATTTTAAACTACTTTTTTATATTGTAGTAAATACGTATGTAACAAATCAACCGCCATTTCAACATTCAAGTCAGTGACGTTGATTATATTTAACATATTGTTTGACACTTACCACTATCCATTTCCAAATTTGCCCATTACTCTTAACAGAAGCTCAGTGTCCCCTAAGCCCTGGTCTTCTCCCCACCCTCTTAACCACTAATAAACTTTGGTTTCTATACTTGCCTGTTCTAGATATTTCATATAAATGGGATCGTACACTATTTGCCCTTTGGTGACCGACTGATTTCACTCAGCATAATGTTTTCAAGGTTCACCCGTATTGTAGATCATCATTTATTTTTAAATAGCAAATGGAAACAGAGGAACTACAGAAGATTGAGAAGGACGAGGAAAAGAGGAGGGAGGTTAGAGTAATGTTGCAGAAACCAAAGGTATTTCGAGAAGGAGGGTTTGGTCTGTAGCATCAAATTAGCATCCCAGTGGGCACAGGGTTAGTAAACGCACTAACAGCCTCTACTCATGCTCACGGGGTCTTCCATGTGGTGAAGTGCAAAATCATGATTAGAGACACTCAAGAGATGTGAATAAGATGCAGCTAAGTTACAACTGGTCACACCCATTCAAATGGATTCATTTCACTGTCATTTCCAGTGATCTTAATACTTACCTCTGGACCAAACTGAAAGTGTCTAAAGACAATCGTTTACGTGCCTCCTAACTCCATTTTTGGTGAGAGTTTAGGAATCCAATCTTATCTCTTAAAGCAATTTAACTGAGAAAGGAAGATTAAAATTATTGTTAATTTTATCTCTTTTGGGTAAAACTATTTCTCCATCTTGCCCAACCCTTATAAAGAAGCACGATTTTTTTTGGTTTTTGTTTTTTTTTTTAGGAGAATTAATTCTGAACTTTTAGTTAAAGTGTGGGATTCATCTCTGGTTTATTCTTAAAAGGTAATGGTGATTAAGGCAAGTCCTGGCTATCCAAGAAAGAGACATCAAGGATTGTCAACATTTGAATGTTGTTGTATACAGAATGAAATTAGACTTGTCTCATTTGGAAAAAGCTGGAAATTACTTTCATCTTGCTGTTGGTCAGGGTGCCGTTGGCACTAGCAGTGCCAGATTTGCTTCCAGGAAAAGAATATAGTTGTTTGACTCAATTTTTTCTTGTTATTGAAGTAATATTTTTTTTAAAGCTCACAGCCGAGCTCTAACTGACGGGCATCTGATTCCCTTGCAAGTTCGGCTTCATTAACTAGAATTAAACAAGTCTCATTTATTCTGAGAATTTAGGGAAAAAAGACAATGGTGCCTACAGAATTATTGAATTAATTGCGTGAGTTATGAAAGACGGCATTTTGGAGGAGAGGTGAAATTTGGCTTCACACCCTCTGAAGCATATGAACTGCGAGTGTGGATGTTGTTTGGGGGCCGTGGGGGTTCGGTGGCAGAAATCTCGCCTTCCACGTGGGTGTCCTGGGCTCAGTTTCTGTCCAGTGTAACTCATATGCAGCCACTACCTGTCTGTCAGTGAAGGCTTGCTTGTTGCTATTATGCCGAACAGGTTTCAGTGGAGCTTCCAGACTAAGACAGACTAGAAAGAAAGGCCTGGCGATCTACTTCCAAAAATCATCCAGTGAAAATCTTCGGATCACAACAGTCTGATATGCAGCCGATCGTGGGGATGACGCAGGACCAGGCAGCGTTTCATTCAGTTGGGCGTGGAGTTGCCATGAGTCGACGGTTGACTCAGCGGCAACTAACAACATGGTTCAAACTGTGGGCCTACCTGGAAGTAGAGAAGAGATTTCTTAACACCCGAAGGGTTCAGAGCTCTCAAAGAGAAGTTACTTAACAGTCAAGAAAATTCCCTTGCAATTTTAGTAATTGGATTAAGTACCAAATGACCTTCATTCAGAACGTAATGATACTCTTGGAAAATTTGAATTAGGATTCAAGATTCAAGGCCATTAAAAGCCAATCTGGTAGGTAGTAAGTTGAGTCTATCTCAGCTGATCTTGCCGAAGGCTGGCTCTTAAAACAAATTTTGTCAAACGCTTCAGGATCCATGATGAAGTTAACTGCAAAATTATCTTCAATATAGCCACGTTGTAATCTAGGGGTATAAAGTATGGTTGATAAGTTATTTCTCCTGCTTCTCAGACAAGTATATTGTATTATCAGTAAAATTTGGTGATAATAGCAGGTAAGTATGGAGCCCAGTGGTTTATAAATTTGGGGAATTGTACCCGTATCATTTTAATGGTTTTGATCTCATAAGGTTTATATCGTGGATATGTGTGAGAGTTCCAGTGGCAATATTTTTATGGGCAAGACTCCTTACCATATATAATAAGGATCTTTAGTCTTGGTGATTTTAAGTATCAACTATTGCTCTTTTATAGTTTTTCAATATTTATGAAGAATATCAATTTCTTTTCTACCTTCACTTGAAGTCGTTTTGACATTTTTACACTTTTTGTTATCCTATTCTTTAAAAAGTTATTATTTTTTTTTAATAAAAATAAAGAAGACCTTTCCCTTATTATGCATATTTAGGGATTGTCGCTAATTTCCATTTGAGTTTCCAGACACCCATTAGGAAAGTAACATTCTGGTAAAATAAAAATCCGTCTCAAAAAATAAATTCAGACTGATCATACATGTGGCATGTGACTAGGGCAAAGACCTCATTTAAATTATCTGAATATGATCACCACCCTGAATATTAGTTAAGCTTTTCCTTCTAAAACCTCTGACGATTTAAAATATTTTGTTTATGTGTACTTGTATGCATAGCGTATATATATAGCATTGCCTGGGAACAGAGCGTTCTGTTTTTCATTACTCATAATTGCTATTTAGAGCATATGCTGCAAATGTATTGAAGATACTTCTGGGTCTCATTAATCAATGTTCTAAATGCTAATCTCTGCTGTCCAGTTAACTCTTAAGCAAATTTACCCTCCCCCCTTTTTGTGGTGATTCATCTGCTGATGATGTTTAACAAAACCTTAAAGGAACAATTGTGGGTTAAGTAAGTCTTGCTGCATTCTGTGTAAGTACATTGTAGGCAGTGAATTTTCCTCCTGCTTTGCAGGCCATCGGAGAGAAAAGAGCTGCTCCGGATTCTGGCAAGAAGCCCAAGACTCCAAAGAAAAAGAAAAAGAAAGATCCCAACGAGCCCCAGAAGCCAGTGTCAGCATATGCCCTATTTTTCAGAGACACGCAGGCTGCAATTAAAGGTCAGAACCCCAATGCAACCTTTGGAGAGGTCTCCAAAATCGTAGCATCTATGTGGGACAGCCTTGGAGAAGAACAAAAGCAGGTAAGGCAAGATCCATCATGGCCATATATATATTTGAAAATTACTGGAGTATTCCTTGTAGCTTTTCTGAGCAAATACTTTCCCTTAATATGATTGCCTCTCATGAAAGCCTTTCTAAGCTGTGGAGTTAAAAAAACCAACCAACCAAACGTACGCAGTCATGCGCCGCACGTCTGTTTGGCCAACGTCCGTCCGTGGTCCCAACCCCTATAAAGCCTATTACATTAAAAGTTTCAGGTGCATACAATGGTTCATAATAACAAACGAACGCTACTTTGTGACATGCAACAAACCGTTATTATGATTGTCACTGGATTATTATGTAAAAGAGGTTTTAGTGTATCTGGAAATGTTTCTTGAGCGTTTTTTATGCATAGAAAGCTACACTATATACTGTATCCTAAGATAAGTCTGTTTTGACTCACCGTACGTCTTTTAACTTTCTTACAAATTCTACTAAAAGACAGATTTAGGAACAGAACTCATTCAACTCATTCGTAATCTGAGGACTGCCTGATATAATGTGATGTTCGCACAACGTCCAAATCACATGAGGTCCTGTTTCACAGAACTTATCGTGGACATTAAGTGACATGTGGTTGTAAATATAAACAACTCTGCAGCCACTTTGTGGCTGTATAGATTTCTCAGCCAGCTTCAGGCTGAATGTTCAGAACCCATCTAGAGGAGGATTGGAAAAAATCCAGGCTGTGTCCTGCAAGCATAAACTTTTGGTAATAATCTTTTCATTTTAAATAATGTGGATTTTGTCCCCCTTTGTTCAAAAGGAGCACTACAAAAGGATTAGGTCCATCCTGCTTGCCTTTTCATTGATCAGCTTTCTGAAACTTTGTGCTGTCTTGGTGGGTTTCCAAACTTTGAAGCCTTCTCTGTGTGTCTCATTATCGTCAGCAGGCATTTGAAATTTTATTCCAAGTTCATTTTAAAGCTCGGCAGTGTGAGAGGTATTTAGAGATTAGCTATGCTGGTAGGAGATACTTCCTTAGGAGTTTAGTCTCTTCTCCTTCCCCATGCAACTCTTCCACACAAACGAGAGAAGAATGGGTTCCTTGGGGTCAGTCCTTCCCTTGTTCCTTGCATGAAACTCCAATTACCATTAATAGGAGTTAACGCTCACATATCGATGGAAGAATAGACCCCTATTAGTGATAAAATACAATAATTGTTTCGGAAGGAAGAGTGGAAAGCCCTTGATTTTTCTTTACAAACCATGAACTCATTCCTGCTAGCTGGTTTCATTGGGGTGGTACACCTATAGAATTTTACTCTTTGCTTCAGTGAGGTTATTGCTGTATGTAGCAGACTGAGTTTCTATCCTTGAAATACAATTATAAGGGAGGGGCAAACTGCTATACCTAACTTTTAAACTCTGGAGAGAGAGACATAGTAGTGCATTGGTCTAACGCCCAGCCATCTGACCACTGTTAAAAAAAAGGAAGCCCAAATCATGTTTAAAATGATGGGTTTTATTTATGTAGCTCATTGCTCTCATTCATGGAAATCTCACATCTTTTGCTATTTCTGCCTTTCTTTTTTTTCCCAACACAAAACTAATATTGAAAGGTCTCCATCTTCTCTCTTCTGTCTTCACACACTCTCCCACTTTCGTTTTTGTTTGATTTAGTACGGTTGAGAAATGTGGTATGGGAAAGATGGCATTGATGGAGAAACTAGTTACTTTCTGTAATTTAAACCAGTTGCAGCAAGTTTTATTCTTCTTACTACCTGATGTACTGCCTTAGCAAGAGGCCCTCCGGGTCCTCTCAAGGAATCTAGGCTGCACACTGAGACTCTTTTCTCATTTGCGATGGTGGTTGTTAGCGGCTGTGTTTCTGCCCCCGACTCATGGCAACCCCATGTGTTACAGAGTAGAACTGCTCCACTGGGTTTTCTAGGCTATGATCTTTACCGAAGGAGTCCAGGTGGTGCAGTGGTTAAGCACTCGCTGCTGATCGACAGGACAGTGGTTCGAACCTGTCAACCTGGCTGCGGGACAAAGATGTGGCAGTCTGCATCCGTAAAGGTTAAACCAAACTTGTTGCTATGGAGTCGATTCCGACTTGTAATGACCTATAGGACAGAGTAGAACTCCCCATAGGGTTTCCAAGGCTGTAAATCTTTACGGAAGCAGACTGCCACATTTCTCCTGAGGAGTGGCTGGTGGGTTCGAATGGCCTTGGAAACCCTGTGGAGCATTTCTATAGGGTGGCTATGAGCTGGAAGCGACTTGAGGGCAACGGGTTAATCTTTAGGGAGCAGTTCACCAGGCCTTTCTTCACAGAGCTGCCGGACGAGTTCAAACTGCCACCCTGTCGGTTAGCAGCCAATTGCAAACTGCTTGTGCCACCAAGCTCCTTTCATTTGCGATAGTAAACATCAGCATTGTGCCCCAGTTAGGTGGCTGAGTTTTTGTTTGTTTTAATATGTATGTGTGTGTGTATGTGTGTTAACATTTAAAAATCAAAGCTAAGAAAGACTAACCCTTTCTGTAAGTTGCACTGTGCCCTAGTTTTTGCAGCATTTATTTTATGGCCGAGAATTTATACGCTAAAGGTGGTGCTAATTGTGGTCTTTCAATAGGTATATAAAAGAAAAACGGAAGCTGCCAAAAAAGAGTACCTGAAGGCCCTGGCTGCATACAGGGCGAGCCTGGTTTCCAAGGTAAGCCTGCACAGGTGATCCCTCTCGTCATAGTTACAATATTCAGAGTAGCCCTGGAGCATTGAAAATGTAAATGCAACTCCTCTTAGAGATGATAAAATAGCATCTTGAACAACTCACAAACTTGTTTCCATTTGAGATTACCTGGATGATGGCAGGGAAAGTATGAATTAATTAAGCATCTGAGTCTAAATGATTGTTTCCAGAAGATTCGCTGATCTCTATCGATGTGTGTTCAAACTCTTTAGACAAATTTTAAGTAGTCTCTTATTCTTTCTTTGTGTCAGGGACTGAGATCTGTGTTAATGTCCTCTTTATTTATGTCCTGGGAGGTGTATGTTTGTCTGGCATTTTTGGATCTCAAATCATAAATTCTCCAGTAGTTATTGTAATCTGGAATGTTGCCTTTTGACCAAGCGCCCCATTCATATAAATAAATAAACTTCATGCTTATTTAAAATAAAATTATGCTCCAAGTACAAAAAACAAAAGACAGATGTATGTATTATACATAGCATATACGATGGGCTCATTGTATTATAAACTGCACCAATATCTCGAAGCAAATGCCGCTCTCGATTATTATTATCTTGATGCAAAAGGAGCATGAGCTATTACCTGATTTTTTAAAACAGTTAATTAACTTTGTCTTTTGCCTTACTTGAATTTAGAGAAGCTTGGGGGACAATAATTTGAACTAATACGTTTCTGCTCATGATACTTTTTCTTTGGCAAGCAGAGATACCATTCCATTGTCATTGTTACTGTGTCAAGTGCTACAAAGGACCTCACGGCATTGTAGATGTTGCTGGCAAAGCCATTTTAAAAGCGTTTACTCCCTTTTTCTCACTCTTCCTCACCTGAGTTGTTTCTTCTGTATATTAAAGCTTACAGCTGGCAGCTGCTCATAACCGAACAACAAAGGTCCTCTGGCCCTTGTTGATAGCTCCCAGAATACTTGTCACTTCAGTAGAAAGAGAAAACATTTATCGGGTCAATAGCAAAACCTTTTTCTGAGAATCTGGAAGACACACACTGGAAGATACACAGTTTCTGTACTCAGATTTGGATATTGGCAGAAAACAACTGATTGTGTGGGCTACAGATTTTAAGCATGGAGGTATGGTTGGTTGTTAATTGGATGGAGTAAAGTGTCAAGAGTAACAAAGTGCATGTACTTCCTAAGCAGATCATGTATTCATTCATTCATTTACCCAGAAGCAGGTATAGGTGATCATTGTGGATTAGGGCATGAATAATTGAAAATTCACGGATTTCGGCCAAGAGCCAATAACTCAAGAGACATAAGGAAATAGCAACCATGATTGGGCTCATCAAGTCTCTGAATGACTTAGAAGAGATAACTTGAAAGTTATGTATTGGATACTAGAATCATTTTAGAATGGAAATCATTGACTCCAGAGCCAATAGGATGGAATTTAAAAAGAATACATCTAAATCTAAAATACTCTCTTTTTTTTGTAATTAAGTGCAATTTGAGAAGTTCCTAAATTTATATTCAGACACCTGGCAGGCAAAAATGTAGTCCTTGAGGTATAAGTTTAAAATAATTTCAGCCTGAGCCAAAAGTGTAAAATAGCTGCAAATATAGTGATCTCTCTGGGAGCAACATCTAATGGTACATTATAATGATTAGACCAACTCAGAAGGACTGATTCTGTTTTGGACTCTACAATTTAAAGAGGGTTGGTGACCAGTTGGAGGCTGTCTAGAGTGTTGACTATATGATCGTGAAGACTAAAAAATCAAATTATGTTAGAATAATTGAAAACCAGGGAAGGGTGGATTTGGGGAATGTAATCCTGGTCCTCAAATATAAGGGCCACCATGTAAGGGAAGCATTAGTTGAACTCTGTGCCCCTAGATAGAAGAACTAACTAGTCTAAGGAGCAAGGTTACAGGAAGCAAGATTTCAGCCTCAACATGTGGGGGGGCAACAATGAGGTTATCATATGTGCATTGAACTTGTGCCTAGGATGCCCTCCCACTCAAGATGTGACTTTACTGTATTCTTCATAACTACAAGAGAAAATAAAACCACCAATTGCCATAGAGTCGATTCCAACTTATGGTGACACTGTGTGTGTCATAGAAGAACTGTGCTCCACAGGGTTTTCAGTGGCTGATTTTCCGGAAGTAGATCACCAGACCTTTCTTTCAAGGTGCCTCTGGAAGGACTCAAACCTCCAACCCTTAGGTTAGCAGCCAAGGGCGTGAACCATTTGCACCACCTTGGGACTCCCCCAGTTACACCCTCCAAAAAACCCATAATTTTTGAAGAATAAGAGGAAAAAAGGAGCCCTGGTGGTGAAATGGTTAAGTGCTCGGCTGCTAACTGAAAGGTCAGCGGCTCGAATCTACCAGCTGCTCCATGGAAGAAAAGAGCTGGCGATCTGCTCTCATAAAGATTGATGTTGTTGTTGTTAGGTGCCGTTGAGTCCGTTCTGATTCGTAGCGACCCTATGTACAACAGAACGAAACACTGCCTGGTCCTGCGCCATCCTCACAATTGTTAATATGTTTGAGCCCATTGTTGCAGCCACTGTGTCAATCCATCTCGTTGAGGCTCTTCTTTTTTGCTGACCCTCTACCTTACCAAGCATGATGTCCTTCTCCAGGGACTAGTCCCTCCTGATAACATGTCCAAAGTATGTGAGATGAAATCTCACCATCCTCGCTTCCAAGGAGCACTCTGGCTGTACTGCCCTGAGGAGCTGTTCTGTTCTCTGTCATATAGGGTCGCTATGAGTCGGAATTAACTTGACGTCACACAACAACAAGACGAAAAGTAGTCTTTAAGAGGAATTATTCCAAACACGGTTTCATTAGTAAAAGCTAGAGATAATTACGTGTTTTTACTACAAAATTTAATAGTTTTTCTCCATTTTGAGCTCTAGATCTGTTTATCTTATAACAGATTATACAAAGTCATACAACTATTGAACGTTCTTCCATGTCTGTGACTTCTTCAATAAGTTCTGGTTATCCTTGAAAATATCTATTAGACTAAAATATTTCTAATGTTGTAAAGTACTTCAATTTACTATCTCTAAGGAATCCTGTTATGTTTTTCTTATATTCAGGTAAGCACTGCTGTAAGTAATCATGCAGGTACAGGAATTTGAAATTTTCTAGTAGGAATTGTTTTCTAGTGGTAGTTTTTGTTAATTAAAAGAAATAACTAACATTTACTAAGTGCTTTCTGTAGGCCAGAAACTGTTGTAAATGTTTAAGACATATGAGTTAATTTAATTCAGATTTAATTAATAATCCACATAGCCCCATTTTGCAGATTAGGAAACTGAGGAGCAGAGGGACGAATTCAATTTTCCCAGTTCGCAAAGTTATTCATTAGTAAAACTGGATTTGAATTCAAGCAGTCTGCATTCCAGTCAACGATGAGATTATTACGGACATAAATGCTGAAGAATTGTTGCTCTTAAGTATGTGTGTTGGTCTTCTTCTGCCACAATAGTGCTGTGTAACAAACAACCCCAAAGCCCAGTGATTAAGAAAAATCAGCGTTTATTTATCTTGGAGACTGACATTTAGCTAGCTGGTTCTTCAGATCTAGGCCAGGCTTGGCAGGATCAGCTAGTCCTGCTTATCTGATAACTCTACAGTCAACTTTTGGGTCAGAGAGGGCTGAGATGGCAGATGGCCTCATTCACATATATGGTAGGTTACTGGCTGGGAGTGAGCTGACTCCTAAAAGCTGGTGTAACTGGGCCACAGCCTGTCATCATCCACATGACAGTGGTAGATTCCAGAAGAGAGTGGAAGGGTGTAAGGCCTCTTGTGGCATCAGCTTGGAACTGGGACAATGTCCCTTCCACCACATTCTGTTAGCCAAAGCAAAGGCACACAGCCAGCCCAGATTCAAGGGGTAGGAAATTTGGCTCCACCTTTTGATGGGAAAAGCTAAAAAGTCGCCTGATGAGGGTCTTGGATACTGGCAGGTGTGAACAATGGTGGCCACCTCTGTAATCAGTTTATCTCAACTTGTGTATTTTAGAAGCCCTGGTAGCTCAGTGGTTAAGAGCTTGGCTGCTAACCAAAAGGTTGGTAGTTCGAATCCACCAGCTGATCCTTGGAAACCCTATAGAGTAGTTTGACTCTGTCCTACAGGGTCACTGTGAGTCGAAATCGACTCGATGGTAATGGCTTGGTTTTGTTTTTGTGTATTTTAATATTCTGGAATTTCTCCCCCCAAAACGCAGGCTGCCGCCGAATCAGCAGAAGCCCAGACCATTCGTTCTGTTCAGCAGACCCTGGCGTCAACCAATCTGACATCCTCCATCCTTCTCAACACTCCGCTGTCTCAACATGGAACAGTATCAACGTCGCCTCAGACTCTCCAGCAATCGCTCCCTAGGTCAATCGCTCCCAAGCCCTTAACCATGAGACTCCCCATGAACCAGATTGTCACCTCAGTCACCATTGCAGCCAACATGCCATCGAACATTGGTGCCCCACTGATCAGCTCCATGGGAACAGCCATGGTTGGCTCAGCATCCTCCACCCAAGTGAGCCCTTCAGTGCAAACCCAACCACATCAGCTGCAGCTGCAGCAGCAGCAGCAGCAACAGCAACAGCAGCAGATGCAACAGATGCAGCAGCAGCAACTCCAGCAGCATCAAATGCATCAGCAAATCCAGCAGCAGATGCAGCAGCAGCATTTCCAACACCACATGCAGCAGCACCTGCAGCAGCAGCAGCAGCTGCAGCAGCAAATCAACCAACAGCAGCTGCTGCTGCAGCAGCTGCAGCACATGCAACACCAGTCTCTGCCTTCTCCGCGCCAGCACTCGCCCGCCGCTTCCCAGATCACGTCCCCCATCCCCGCCATCGGGAGCCCCCAGCCCGCCTCTCAGCAGCACCGGTCGCAAATACAGTCTCAGACACAGACTCAAGTCTTATCGCAGGTCAGTATTTTCTGAAGACACGTGGCGGATGGAGTTGTGTGGATCAGGAGGGTGGCATAGGAGGGGTAAACCATACGTGGCTGAAACTTGTAAGTTGGTGTTGGTTATGCAGCAAATGTGTAACAGATCAAACGGTCCTCTCAAGTGTCTATTAGATAGGCAATAAGAACTACAGTGTAGCTGGGTATCATCTTTTAGCCGACTGTAAATCACTTTGTTTTTAAACAAGAAAAGCTGTGCTCTTTTATGTGATGGCTTTTTTATTTATTCAGGCTATACCTACAATATGTGAATCGAACCGTTTCATGAATCCTGGGACGCACTGATGATTATAAACTGGCCTGTCTGAGTCACAGAACATGGCCTTATTGCTCCTGAAGTGAATAAACCACACTTCCAGGCTGTTTGAACTTCCGAAGCCCTAAAAATAAAAAGCACAGTTGTAACTACCTGAGATACGAAAGTTCAGTTTCATACAAATGCTTGTATGACGTGAATAGTTGATGGCATTTTTTTGTCATGAGAAAAAAATAATGTAAATCACAGACTTTTGCCAAAGCTCTTATTTTTTTTCCCCCTAAATCTCTCCAGGGAAAAAAAAAAAAATGCAAGTGATTAGATTCAATTCTTGACTCCTTTTCACTTTTTCTCCATGACTTGTCCAAATCAAACGACGGTGTATGTTGTAACAGTATCTATGACCGCTGTTAGCCCGTGATATATCCATTCCAATTAGAAGAAAAGAAATGTGAATATTATATTCTGTGTTTTGAGTGACAAGTTTCGAAGAATAAAAACACTGTATTTTTAAAAGGGAAATGCACTTAAATGAAAACAGTTATTACAAAAGTTAAGATTTAAAAAAAAAAAAGAAGCAAGAGGTTTTATTATGATGTAATACCGGTAGAATATTTAAAAGGCGCACCACATCTGAATAATCAATGTAAATATTTTCTTTCCAAGTTGTAAGTTTTCATATCATGTGTTGTAAAGTTTTTCATAAACGAGGCTTTAAGATAAACACTGGTGATATAAACCATTCATTGCTACGTTGCTTATTGTGTTTTTATGCTGTTTTATACTTTTTTATGAGTTACGATAGCAGCAATTAAGTTGTTTGTATTTTGCTTAACTAAAAGAAAAAATGCTTTTATCTTGCTATAGAATAAACACATTTCAGTAAAAACCGTGGACTGTATTTTGATGCAGCAACAAGGCAACTGTTCACTTTTCAAATAAAATGCTCTGTCAAATTTCATTTTTGGTCCTTGAATACATACAGGATGGGGAAATATGCCACTTCTCAAGTGTTATTTCTGCCCAAGCATCATCTTCCATTTTCAAATACCAGAATCATGGCTAAGAATTTAGATTGCATAGCCCCAAACCAGGACCCTTAAAAAAAAAACTTTGGAAATATTTTTGTAATTGTCTTTTTCTTAAGATGGGAGTGCAGGGTAAGTTTGTAGAGAAGAACAATTGTGTTTCGATTAGGAGCTAGAACTAGCTGGCATTGTGTTGTTATTGCTATTAAAACGGGTGATGAATGCTGATTCTTTAACCAAAATAATGATTTCAGTGCCCATTTCTTGCCCCCCTTTCTTCCCGTGTAGTAGCTTCTCTTTGAGAACAGTGTGACGACTATCCCCAGTTGTCTTGCATGATTAATTACAGCATCTGTCCTGTCAGAAGTTATAATGAAGAGGTCTTGATAAAAATTGCAAATCACCACTGGCAACAGTCTTAAACTGCTTATGATAACGTGAAAATTAAAAACAGCAAGTGTCAACCCTGACCAGCATCCTTATCTGGACTGAAGGAGGGTGTGAGTGAGTGGTGATGTCCATAGCTAGCATGTGCAAGGCATTGAAAAATCATGGACTATGAATTCCTCAAAATTGTTGTTGTAGTACAAAGAATATTTACGGTATGTTGTGGCTTCTGAATAATGAATTCCATTTTCAATATTTCATAATCCTCTTATACACTTTATTATGTACAAATATTGAACAGCAAGAGAGTCTAATTATAAATTTATAGATTTCTTGCTGTAGAAAAATTTATGTCTAAATTGAAGCTTTTCCTAAGATGTATTAGTTGACAGGTAACAGTGATAAAACAGTCTTAGAATGATGCCTGATCACATCCACGAGGAGTGACTGTATTCCACAAAGAAATGATAATATGCTTGCATCAGACCCATCAGAAGCAGAGCTGATGGTAGAAGATTCAAACGAACATTACATAACAATAAGACCCATTTTATATTCTGTTGTGAAACCTTTAGACAAATGTCTTCAAAATTAATTGCTAAACTGCATGTGACAGTAATCGTGTATTAGTTCTATAATTGTCATTTTGAAAACCCATGAAGTATTGCTTGGAAAAAAATGTCACTAGCGATAAGACTTAATTGCAAGTGAAGTCTGTTCTCAACTGTTTGCAGTTAGAAGCAGGTGTTGTAACATCTATTAAATGATTTTATAAATCTTGGGTTTTATCACCTTTGATTAAATGCTGCTAAGCCACTGATGGTCAATTCCAGGAAAAAAGAAATTTAATCACTACAGTTTACAAAATTAATCACCAGGCAAAACTATGTATTCAAAATGTCAGAAGGCTTGAATCATGAAAAGAAACCCCCCAACCTTGTTACTAAATTATTTTTCTCAGGATTCGCTAAAGCATGTTATGCATCAACTTGTAGTTCAATTTATACACGTGACTGGTTTCTATTCCTGAGACTTACATGAGTATTTGGTTTACTTTTTTTGGCACAGGTCAGAAATAAATCAGGGTAATGAAAAATCGGCATGAGAAATGTGGTATCTGATTAAGGTGGCATTCCCTCCGAGTGACCTACAGACATTAAACAGCCTCCCAGCCTCCCACCTCCATCACACACCCGTTTCTCTCCCCGTCCTGTGTGGACAATATTTTATTACTCTGGTTAAACACGGTCTCTTTTTTTTTTTTATTGCATTAACCTGTACTGCTGTATGATGAAAGAACATAAGGAGTTTTCATTTTTCAGCTGACACGGGGTCATTAGTTCCCAGCTCAAAGAACAAAAGCTTAAATGCCTTCGTGTAGCATAATTTCTGCAATATATTACCACCTGATGGAGATTCGAAGCCTTGCTAGACAGATGGATTAATATCTCAAGCTTAAGTAGGAGTCCTCCGCTGTGTCCATTCAGCGCGCTTTACACATCTGAATGGTTTCTTTGCCATTTCTCACTTCATGGAGCATTTTTCAGCACTGGACTTCGATCTAACCTTCCCTTACCCCCCACCCCCACCCCCTTCGTTTGGCTTTTGTTTTGCAACAGCTGTTATTATCGTTTTTGGTCAGCTGTGATTGCTGGAGGCAAAATAGGACCAGATGGTGTTTTGCTATGCATGAATGGAGAGTTAGTGGCGTTGGGATTGAATAGGCCAAGTCTGAATGGTGTCTATGCACCACCTGCCTGCCTTAGCTGGGGCGCACACATCACAGTAGCATGATCCGTCTCAGACCTACTGGAATCGGATGGGAAAGTGGAGAGCTGGGGTGGCTGTTTACTGATCTTCCAGGCACTAACAGAATAATGCCGTGTACAGTCAATTTGAGTTAACTGGATGTGACACAGCATGGACATGTAATCTATCATTCTGGAATTCTGCTTGGCTTTAAGGATTTCCCTGCTCCCCAAAATACAACGGGCACACTCAGAGCAAAAATGAATGAGCTAAGGAGGTAAAAGTTAAATATAAAAAAAGATGTCTGTCTGAAATCGTAGACTTAGGAGTCTAAGGTTGAGGTTTGGGAAGGGGGAGACATGTAAAAATGATCTTTGTATCAGTTAATAATACAAGGTAGAGAAAAGCTACAGTTCTGATTGGAGCGGAGAGTATTCATGTTTGTCCATCATCCGTCAAGAAATAAGAAATGCGCCTTAACAGGAAAACCACCCAAATACAAATCCAGGTTTGAATCCTCTTAGAAAATATGCTTTTTGTTTGGTTGGTTTTTTATTGTCGTAAGAATATACATAACACAACGTTCGTCATTTTTCCCATGGACAATTTTGTGACATCAATTACATTAATCATGTTGTACAACCATCACCAATATCCAATGCCAATTTCGAAAAATATTCTTAGCTATATACACTTCTCTCCCTGTATCCTCAAATATAGTTAGCTTTGCTGATTATCCCCCCTAACTTCAAGGATGAACACTTTCCCTGAATTTTCAAGTTGGTGAGCAGGTTTAACCTGTGTTGATGGTGATCCTATAGGCTCGTGAGTTGTGGGTGTCAGCATGAGTTACCGAGGAGAAGCTTAACCATTCAGGAAAGGTAGAGACAGACAGTTTCATTTGCCTAAGGCAAATTACTTAAATTACTTAAATTTACTTCTCCTCCATGCAAGACCCTGTGATAGGTCCCAAAGGAAATGCAAAGATAAACAAAGCCTTCTGTTGACTTTGTGTATGTTTGAAATTTTCCATAATAAATATTTTTTAAATAAAATAATACACTAAGAAGGCCGTCCCAAACTTTGGAAGCTTTTGTTTTTTCTTGGGGTGGGGAGAGGTATCCATAAGGCAGAATGGTTAGTGTTCCTACAAGAGACATAAATCAATTTTTTTTTTCCATCTGAGAAAATTACAAATAGTTTAGAAAGGAAAGAGATTGCAATTGGTTAGGGGTATTAGGGAAAGCTGCATGAAATTATTGGCATGTAAGATGTGCCTTGAAGGTTGGGTAGGATTTCTGTAGGCCAAGATGGAAGTTATCTCCTTGGTAGAAGTAAAAGACATCACCAGCCAAGGGGAGAGCAAGAAAACATGCGTTGAAAGTACCAAAACCCGTTCTGCGTTGAGGTGATTCCAACTCATGGCGACTCCATGTGTTACAGAGTAGAATTGCTCCATAGGTTTTTTCGTTTTTGTTTTTGTTTTGCAGCTTATTTTTAATTTTTATTGTGCATTAGGTGAAAGTTTACGGGGCAAATTAGTTTCCCATTCGAGAGTTTGTACATAGTGTTCCATGACGTTGGTTTCATTCCCCACAATGTGTCAGCACTCTCCCCATTTCTGTCCTAATTTCTGTTTCCTTTCATCCTGATTTCCTACCCCTTCCTGCCTTCTCATCTTTGCTTTTGGGCAAATGTTGCCCTTTTGATCTCGTATAATTGATGGTTCTAAGGAGCACATTCCTCTTGGTGTTATTGTTTATTTTATGGACGTGTCTGTGGTTTGACTGAAAGGTGGTCCCCAGGAATGGCTTCAGTTCCAGTTCAGAAGGGTGTCTTAGGGCCATGGTCTCGGGGGTTCCTCCAGTCTCTGTCAGACCAGTAGGTCTGGTGTTTTCTGTGAGTTTGGTTTTTCTCTTCTACAATTTTTCTCCTGCTCTGTCTGGGACCCTCTGTTAGGATCCTAGTTAGAGTGGTCAGTAGCTGGGCACCATCTAGTTCTTCTGGTCTTAGGGTTGTGTAGGTTGAGGTTCATGTGGTCCCTTAGTCCTTTACACTAATTGCTCCCAGTGTCTTTGATTTTCTTCCCTCTCCTTTGCTCCAGATGGTAAGAGACCAATAGTTGTATCTTAGATGGCCGCTCACAAGCTTTTAAGACCCCAGACATTACTCACCTATGTAGGATGCAGAACTTTGTCTTTACAAACTATGTTGTGCCAACTGACATAGGTATCCCCTGAGTCTATGGTCCACAGTCCATAGCATTTTCTTGACTATAATCTTTACAGAAGCAGATCGCCAGGCCTTTTTTCAAGTCACTGCTGGGTGGGTTCGAACCTCCAACCTTTAGGTTAGTCTCAGCCCAAACTCTTTCCTCCACTGAGGAACCTTGCTGAAATAACCCAAACCATGGCCACGGAGTCATACAGTGACCCTATAGGATTTTCTAGCCCTACAGGGTTTCCAAGGCTGTAGTCTTTATGAGAGCAGCCTGCCCACCTCTTCCTCCTGTGGAGTGGCTGGTGGGTTTGAACCACCGACTTTTCCATTAGTAGCCAAGAGCTTAACCACTGCACCACCAGGGCTTCTCGTTGAAAGCACAGACACCAGTAAAAGAGCAGTAAAGAAGCAGAATTGGATACACTGCTTTCAGGGCAATGGGTGGGAAAAAGTACTGAAAAGGAAGTTTGGGGTCAGATTTGTAGCAGATCTGGGGACTTGTGCTTTAACTCTTAAAACACAATGAAGTTACCCGAGCAAAAAGGGAATGATCAGAGTCAACTGAATACA